GGAGTACACAGAGCCTGGGGACGAATTAGATCCTGGTAACCCTTTAAGACGTACCAGTCGTAATCTGGACGACGAAACCATGGACACTCTGCCGTTACTGGAAGGCATCGTCACTACAAACTTAGGCCTAGACATCGTCGTCGTTATAACAAAGACCGATTACATGTCTACTCTCGAGAAGGAACACGATTACAAGTAAATGCAAAGCGTTTTCAGTGTTACAACATTAAAACAAAAACGCAAAAACTGTACAAAGTAATTTATTAGACTGATTTTTATGGTAGAGACGAGCATTTCGATTTTATACAACAGTGGATCAGACGATTCTGCTTCCAATATGGCGCCGCGCTGTTTTATACGTCAGCGAAGGAGGATAAGAACTGTGATTTGCTTTACAAATACTTAACGCATAGGATCTACTCGTTGCCCTTCAGAACGCCTGCGTTGGTCGTCGAGAAAGACGCAGTCCTCATGTAAGTCAATTAGTATTAGGAGAAAATTGTTTTGTTTGTGGAATATTTTTATTGTACAATGTTTCTGGTTTTGTGAATGTTTGAATTAAATGTACTTTCGATTGCAGCCCTGCTGGTTGGGACAACATGAAGAAGATCAGCATCCTTCACGAAAACTTGCAGTCGATGAAGCCTGATGATTATTACAGAGACGTGATTGCGCAGCCATCGACGAACCGAAAGGTACAATCAATCACGAGTGAATTTATTGAAACGTGAATCCTGTTGATTAGTGCGTTGCAAGGGAAGTGGAGGTGCAAGCGGAAGAGGAACAGGCCTTCCTCGCGAAGCAACAAGCCGCATTATTGGGCATCAAGGATCCAACGCTGTTCCCGACGAGCAGGAATCAGGCAAGCACAGGACCAGTGATCCAGGTTATACCATTTATAATTGGAGCATGCTCGTCATGTATTAATCATACAGCATCGATTAACTTCGTCTCTGTGGCTAATTTCGTCATTAACAAATGAATTCGTCTCTTCATGTTATTTCTCACAGTTCCATGTTTCTTACATTGTGAAATTTCATAAATAGAATCGTTCAGTGTCGAATCACTCTTGTATTCATGCATTGCTTGCGTCTTAGCTTAAGGTTGTATGAACCCTTACATGCAAAAAGCTTTTTATTACGTCTCAAATTTTTAACAGGGATCTTATGGTTCATACAACCATAAGAGAATAATTAGCTAGCATAATGCATATGATGTTGGTTAGAATCGAAGCTAATCAAGCATACGAATGCATATTTACATGACACCTCGATATCCCATCGAATCCGATTATTGATTGCTGTGCTTTCAATGGATCAAAAAGCATGTTCTAATATCTGTGGTATGATCTGTTATAAATGTGGCCGGGATGTAGGTTTCTGCAGCTGTTAAACAATTTCTGTCCAGGTGGCGTCGCCGAATAAGAAGTTGGACCCGAAGAACGCGGGAACGATGCAATCCGGTGAAGGCGTCCTAGCGAATTTCTTCAATTCCCTTCTTCATAAGAAGACTGGCTCGCCCGGCAGCGTAGGCACCAGCCCCATCAAAATTGGTAACCATTACAAAAATTCATTTCTAATTTCAGTTCTAATCCAGTTAGGAATTAGTTTTTTATTACTCGTGCTGTTTGCATTGTGCAATGTTGTCTGGTTTACAATAGTTTCTGTTCGTGTGGATTGCTTGTGCTTACTTTTTACTATAGTTTTTTA